CACACACACACACACACACACACACACACACACACATTAGTTTTGTTTTCAGACAGGGTGTCTCTGTGAAGTCCTAGCTGTCCTAGAACTCATTCTATAAATCAGGCTGGCCTCAAACTCAGAGAGCCACCTGCCTCTGCCTCCCTTTGGGATTGTGTGTGTGTGTGAGAGAGAGAGAGATGGGGGGGTATGAATGAATGAATATGTGTATTGTTAAGAGTTATCTATCTGAAGGACCATTGTCCCTCAAGCAGACTTAATTCTTGCATTTTCATGGCACTGGCCATGTTAGTGATGGCTCTGGTGAATGCTGAGAGTAAAGGTACACCAGCCAGGGCCTTTGGAGTGGACAGGGTGATTCCTTCCACTGGCACGCTGAGAAGTCCAACTCAGGTCTTGCCACAACCCAGCTGGCTGCCAGGCTGGTGGAAGAGATGGTAGCTGCTGCCGCTGCACACATTGTGTGCCTCCAATGGATACACCATGGCCCACTTTTCATCACCCTCCCACATAGACCCTTTGTTGATCCTATATCCTAGCCAAGGCTTTGATAGATTTGAGCCTGACACACTTCTGTGATAAGTTCCCTGCAACCATGAGGCTCTCAAATGGTCTGTAGGGCAAGGAACCACACCTGCCCTGTGGAACAGGAAGATATATTTTTGGCAGGCTGCAAAAGGGGGCTTTGAAGCTATTAAAGGGAAGATACCTCTTGAAACTTTTCCTAACGGGATCCCATCAGCCACATATGTTGTACACTTTCCAGTGAGTCTGAGCCTAGAACAGGGTGCCACTAGAAATGTGCAGTATTTGATGCTTAATTGGAACACTCCAATCTTCGCCAAAGAGCAGCCTTTGTGTGGGGCCTGCACCTGGAGCCTTAGACTGGAAGAGGTGCTGTGAGCCAGCTTGTAGACCGTAAAAGGCTCAGCAGTGGTGTGCAGCTTCTAAGACCAGCCACTTAGGACCTGGATGGAGGACTCCATCAATATTTCCTCGGTGTCTTGTGGAAGGCTTCCTAAAGAACCATGCATTTCTGCAGGATTAACTGGGGTTTCTTAGTGGCCTTGCAGAACTTAAGAACTAGGTAAGTGATACTAGGTCTCCTCACCAAGCAAAGCTCTATTCAGATGGAAGCTATACTTGTTTGTATTTGGAGAGCTCTACTGCTGGCTTTACTCTGGCATCAGCCGTCAGTCTTTGTTGTTCTTGCTTAATGTAGACTTTTCTTAAATGGGCTTCATTGTAACTTTTCATCCATGTGTACCATACTTTTCGTCACATCCCCCACACTACCTTGTTCACCTCCATTCAATTATGTAACCCTGGCTGGCTTGGGAACCACCTACCTTTGCCTCCTGAGTGCTGCAATAAAGGTGTGTGCCATCGTGCCCACCTTATTCATTCATGTCATCTATGGTATGTCCAATTTTAATCTAGATTCCATGTGAGAAGAAAAATGGGATATTTGCATTTCTGAATCTGACTTATTTCACTTTATATTTTAATCTTCAGTTCAAGCCATTTTCCTGCAAATGACACATTTAATTCTTCTTTATATACATATCACTTTTGTATTCATTCATCTGGTGACATCCAACTTGGCTACATCACTGGAAACATGGGCGCACATTGTATCTGTTGTGTGCTGGTTAGACTGGTGTAACTGGGTGGGATGTAGTTGTTTCCAGTTCTTTGGTAAAACTTGCATACCAATTTCATGTAGGCAGTACTTTACATTCTTCCCAGAGGCTCTCCCCCTCCCCAACCCTAACCACCATTTGTTGTTTTCTTAAAAATAGCCACTCTGAGTTAAGATAGCATTTCAAAATGTAGTTTGAATTTGTTTTTTTTTTTTTGGGGGGGTCTCCTTTGTGTGCTATAGGTGCACGTGCACAGGTGAATGCAAAGGTCAGAGAGAAGGACATTAGGGGTCCTGCCATATCACTCTCTAGCTCAGGGTCTCACTGAACCTGGAGCTAGGTTGGCAGCCAGCAAGTCCCAGTAGTCCACTTGTCTCTGCCCAGATGCTGGGGTTACAAGGGCACAGAAGCAGCCGAGCCTGGCTTTTTGCATAGGTGCTGGCATCCAAACTTGATTCCTTGTGCTTAAGCTGCATCTTAACTCACTGATTACATTATTTGGTATTTAATCTTTTGAGTAACCTTCTATTATGATCTGGGATTAATCCTCTGCCCATCGAATAACAGAAATTTTCTCCCATCTGCAGGTTGTCCTTTGCTGTGTAAGAGCTCTTTCACTGCAGATAGTCCTATTAATCAAGTCTTGCTGCTGGAGTTCTCAGAAAAGACTTGGTCTATATCCTGAAGTGTTTCCTCTTCTGGTTTCATGCCTTACTGACCCACTTTCTACCCCTCGTCTCACCCTGTACTAAAGTTACTTGAGAGATGTTTTTATTCCTTTACGTGTGGGTGTCCAGTTTACACACCACATTCATTGACGAGAGTACGTTTTCTCCTGTGTGTTTTTGACACCTTTGTTGAAAATCAGTTGCTGTAGAGTGAGTGGGTTTATTTCTGTGTCCTCTAACTCTGGTCTCTGCTGTTTGTGTTAGTTCAGCTCTGCAGTATAACTGGAAATGGGGTGCTATGTCTACAATCTTGCTCTTCTTCTTGTGAGTGCTTTGGCTAGTTGGAGACATTTGTATTATAGGATTACTTTTCTTCACTCTATGAAAAATGCTTTTGGAGTCTGGATGAAATTCAATTTATAAATTCTGGGAAATTTCTGGTAGTTGGCTTAGGGTATTGGTATAGGATTGTATCTTTGCAAACAGGGACCAGTGTAATTCTTCCTTTTCTATTTGTGCCCCTCCCCTTATTTCTTCCTCTTGCCTTATTAATGTGTCTGAGACTTCTAGCACAATATTGAATAAAGTTCTAGCAGACCTTTATCTCTATCCCCAAACTTTCGAGGTAATTTCCCCCATACTACATTTGCTAGAAGTATGTTATATATAGCCTTATCAAAGTGGGATGTTAAAGTTTGCCCAAGGTCTTTTCCGTATCATTTGAGATGCTGTAGATTTTTGTTTCTATAACTTATGTATTGTTGTTTACATTTGTTGAAACATCCAAGATGACCATTATTCTGTTGATGACTTGGGTCTGCAAATGTATATCGAAGAGTTTGGGCTGTGGCTTTCATTTATGTGCATGTTCTCATATCTGGTTTTGAAACCAGAGTGATCCTGGCTCTTAAAAATGAGATTAGTAATAACCATTCCCTTTGTAATTTACGAATACTTTGAAGAGCACTTTAAACTATTAGGTGTAAATAGTTTGAATTTAGCACATAACAAGCATAGTAAATGGGGGGGGTAATTATCTCTATCCCAAAACTTTGGAGGTAAAGGTCTACTCCAATTTTATTCAATACTGAGCTTAAAGTCTCAGACACAGCAATAATGCCAAGAGGAAGAAATAAAAAGGGGTGGGGGACAAATAGAAAAGGAAGAATTAGTGGTCCCAGTTTGCAAAGACACAATCCTATAGTAACACCTAAGCCCTCTACCAGAAAATTCTCAGAACTTATAGATGCTTGAATTCCATCCAGACTCCAAAAGTATTCTTCACTGACAGAAAAAATAATCCTACAATAGTTAAAGGTGTCAGTTCATCTGTAAATATCTAGAATTCAGCAATGAGTTCATACCCTGCTGGGAGACTTATTAGTCTTGTTGCTCATAAGCGACCTCTTTGCTTGTATCCTCTTGATTTATCTATTGTAGATTTTCCAATCTCCAAATGACCCCTTCAATTTCCCTGGTTAACTATTATCTTTTTTTCTTTCGGTTTGGCTTAAGGGTGTGTCAGTCTTGTTTTTATTAGAAAGTACTGTTTGCAGACTTTAAAAAATCACACCCACTAAGATTAGTGCATTTTTATGATGAAGAATCAGGCAGGTCACGAAGTAGAATCCAGCTTATAGAGGCCAGATCTTGATTCAAACCTTACCTTACTCCAAAGTCAGGGCTCCTAACAAATGAGCTGTGATAAACTCTAGGAGCTTTTCTGCATCCACTTATGGGCTTTGGAATGGAATTGAGACCCTGCTCGAGATTGCTAGTCCCCAATCAGCCTTCCATCCACAGTGGACTAGTGTGTATCCACATCTGCAGTGACCCGTGAACATGCAGCTGTGAGGTACAGAAGCGAGCTGGCCAAGGGGGGCCAAGCATGTTAGTCTTTATGCAAGGGAGAGTTCACTTCAAATCAGAGAGAAAAGTCCTGTGACGCTTACAATTTATTTCTAAATAGGCATGGAGATATCACTGCCCTTAGCATACAGTACAAACAACACTTTTCATAGGTGTAGGTTAAGATACAGTCTCCCGTCTTTAGTCTATGACCAAGCAGAGGCCAGAAGGTTCTGAGTGAATGACTTTACACCAGTGGTTGGCAAACTCTGCCAAAAGCCAGATAGTAACTATTTTGTGTTTTGGTGGGGCCACATGTTCTTCTATCACCAAAGCAAGTCTGTAAAAAATGGGCATGGCTCTGTTCTAATAAAATTTTAGGTATTTTTATTATGGAGTTTTGGTTTATGTGCACCATAATGCATGTATGGTACCTATGGCGGTCAGAAGAGGGTGTCCTGTCCTCTAGAACTGGCGTTAAGGACAGTAGTAGGCCACCATGTGGGTGCTAGTAGTCAAACCCAGGTCCTCTCTCTGCAAGAGCACCAACTGCTCTTAACTACTAAGCCATCTCTCCAGATCCTAAAATTTTATAAAGCCATGTTTGGCCTTTGGAAGTAACCCCTTGTGCAAAGAAACTCACTTTTCTAATTGATAGTGACATTCCAAGATATACAAACTGGCTGAAAACATTTCTAGGCAAACTCCTCCTAAGTTACACAGTGGCATTGGTTATTTGGGTGGGGCTTATATATAAATGATACATTCTGTAATACAGAGCAGGTACTGCAGGTTATCAGGCACCAAGGGGCTTCACTTGTTTTTCTCTTCTGTCCCTCAGGTCTGTTCCTTATCCTCGGCCTGATACTCTACCCTGCAGGCTGGGGCTGCCAGAAAGCCATAGACTGTGGACGGCATGCATCTCCCTACAAACCTGGAGACTGCTCCCTGGGCTGGGCCTTTTATACAGCCACTGGGGGCACAGTTCTCACATTCATCTGTGCTGTCTTCTCCGCACAAGCAGAAATTGCGACCTCCAGTGACAAGGTCCAGGAAGAAATCGAAGAGGGGAAGAACCTGATCTGCCTCCTTTAGTTTGGAAGACATGACTGCTACTGTTACCTTTATGACTTGTGACACAGTCTTTGTCATTTGAATCAAGTGAGGAACCAGTCTTGACCTACCAGAGCCACATTCCACAGCCCCAGGCCTTCGTGGGACCAGTGAGGGGCATCACCCACCAAGCAAATAATGAGACCAGACCAGACAAGGACATGGTTTAGCCCCTGACTGTGGAGTCAGACTCTGTCTGCCCAGGGCTCAATGAAGGATAGTGATCTGACTCAGCAAGGCTGGCAGCAGAGGAGAGGCCAGCCAGCCCCAGGGTGGTTTGAGGCAGCTTTCTGGCCCACAGCTGTGTGACTGTGAACATCTCAGAATGAGGGCAGGAGGCAGTGTCTTGGTTTTCTTCTAAGTTGTTTCAATTGGAGACTGAAAGGAAGATTACAGACTTACTGATGGCAGGTTGTATGCTGAAGGTCACAGCAAGATACCAGGTTTTGCTTATCAGACCAAAGGGCTTAACAGGGACAAATGTAGAATCCTTCTGCGGACTACTCTACATTTGTGTTCCAGGGCAAGATGCATCTGTGGAATTATCCTCAGGATTTGAGTTCAGACAGACAGACAATCACCCCAGGCAGTCAGGCAGATGGCTCCCTGCAGCCAGCCTAATGCCTAAACTAGTCCTGTTTCATTAGTTAGTTTTCTCCTGGGGTTGTGCTTGGCTGCCCAGGGAAACCTCAGTGTTTCCTCCTTCCAAGGACAGCGGCAGCCTCCAGCCCAGCTGGGGCTCATGCAGATGTTCAGAGGGAGGGGCTGCCTGACTGTGCTGTATAGTCAGCTGGCTTCCAGTCCCATTGGTGTTCTTTGCAGAGAAAGCAGGACCTAGCCATGGCAGCTTCTAGTGTTGAGCCTAAGAAAAGACTGGGTGACACGGAATCATGCCACTGAAGACTTGCATCAAAAATCCCATCCCCAGGGAGGCAAAGAACAAAAATTTAATGCAGAAGTGGGGGCTGGACCAAACTTAACACATCTGCCTAAGCATGCTTACAAAACCCACTAAATACCACTACTAGAAAGGACTCAGGGCTTTTAATCCAGTCTCTGCAAATTATCCATATAACCAAAGCAGCCAGAAATACCAGTCTGGCAACAAATAAGCCTTGCAGATAGAGACCATCTGCAGTAGCATAAGTGGAGTGGACCCATTTGGTTTTAGAGATATGTTCCACTAAGGGCTTTGTCTTAAAAGTTAAATAGTTAAGCACCTTCTACTGGCAAGTGTTTGTTAAGTACAACCAGGTACACACCCTGATTGAGTCTACAGCCTTGCTCCAGAACAACTGCCTTATATAGAGATGGGCTAGGCCCACTGGGGTTTAATTATATTTATTTGCCCTTTGGTTTATACCAAAAACCATCTTATCTCTCATGAAGGGAAAGGTTAGGGAAGATGGTATTGAATCAGATCTTAAGTTCAGTTTTGAACCAGTGTTCAAAATCAGCAAGGTAAAGATGCTGTGCCTTCTTTAGAATTAGAAGTGGGAGGCCCCTAGGAAGACTCGGGAAACAGGAACAGATCACCAAGTGCATGGGCCATACAGCATGTGGAAAGACTTGTCCTTCTGCCAGCATAGTGACTGTGTTTCCAACCTGGGCAATACTTGGCACAAAACACAGTTTTGTTCGACGAGAATACTTTGTTTTCCTTGAACTTAACCAGATTAATTTTTAGGTATTTTTTTTACATACAAGCTAGTCCCAAACCAGGGATCCTATATGAAAGCCCATCGCCTGTTCTTTTAGTAAGGTGGCAGTGGACTATGTCAGTCACAAATGAAAATGTGACCACTCTGCCACATAAAGTTACTTAACAGTGTTTTTTTCATTAGAGAAACCCCCCCAAAAATGGGGGGGGTGCACAGATGAAATGCCATTGCTATTGAAAACCACCTAGATGCTGACTTGATGGAGCAGAGAGAGAGGTACATCCACCATTTGAGATCTTCAAACCAAGATACAGACATTTTCAGGGAATGAAAGGCCCATCTACAATCATGGTAGTGTAGAATGAAACTTACCTTTGGCTCTTTAAAAACCACTTATGGGCCTATACCCATTTTTCTAGTAATAGGACTGTTCCTACTACAGGAAAGGTCTTACTTTGCCTGTGTTTGTGCTCAGCCTCTCAATGAAGACTAAAGCAGAGACCCCGGAAATCTGTGAATTCTTTAAACCTGTGTGGTAATTCAACAGCATGACATAACTGTGGAAGGGTTTCTATGTAGTTCTGAACATCTGTGATGTAATGAATGGTTTTTGTTAAACATGCATTCTGTAAAGTGCCATAGTCTTTTTATGTGTAGCATATTTAAATATATATATCACATACACACAAGTTTGTCTGAAAGATGTGCAATAACAAAGGTGTATGTTTTGTTTGGGGAAACTGGACATGTTTCAAAACAGGGATGTTTCTGTTTTACAAAGGAGAGTTAGACATATTTGCCTTCACAGCTAGTCATTAGTCCCTAACAATTTTAATGCTACGCAAACCTTATGTGAAGAAAAGACTGGTATGAAGTCATGTTTTCCTGGGTCTAAATGAAGAAAATGATCACTATATTTATGGGAGACTCAATCCAGCAAGCCAGGCCCAGTCATTGCTAGTCTTCTGTGTAAAATGTGAAGCTGCCATTTTGCCTTTTCTGTTAGCCTGATAACTAGTAGCTGCTCATGAGCTTTTGTAGATGGTGTTAATGCTAGGCTACTATATTAAGGCTAGTCTCACACCTTCTTAGCCATAGGAGTCTGGCTTAGGACAGACTGTTCTCTGTGCAATAACATGTGGCCACTGGGAATCCCGGGCCTGCATTTGTGTTTAGGGGAGCAGAGACTCCCAAGGCCAAAAGAATACAAGGGATGACTGGGACTTCTGAGACTATGGAGAAGCTCCTTCTGTAGCCAAGGGGGGTCCTTAGGTGCTGTGAGGAAACTCAGCGCCACTTGAGCCAAATATAAAGTTGTGCTTACAGCTCATGGACTGAATTAGAGCCTTCCTATGTGTGCTTATCCTGTTATATTGTAAACTAATACATTATTTGTCTAGCATAGGATTTTCACAGTGTGCTCCCTTCCCCCCTCCAGATCTGAATTAAATCAGATTTTGTGAACTCATTCTTTCAAGTTTGACTATGTTGGCTTTAATACAGTGCACATATTTTGGAAAAATTTAAAGATAACTTATTGTAACACTGACATCAGGAAAAGTACCCAGGCATTTTCTACTGCCGATTCTTAACTTACCACTACCATGGGTGTTGCCTTTACTTTCTTACTTGGAGAAGAACCAACACAATGATAGGCATCTTAATTTTAAAGTAAAGCTGTGAGATGTGAAAGTGCTTTAGAGCATTTGCTAAACGAAAGGTATGTCCCCACTCTTAAAAAAATACCCAGAAGAAAAGCCAGTCCTATGGAGCCTTCTACACCCACAGCCCCTAGAAGTCAGGACACCTGGGCTTTTGATCTATAAACTTGATAATTAAACATCATTTCCAGAAACCCATTCACCTTTGCACCTTCCCAGGAATACATACTGTCAGAATAAGCCAGTGTGGCTATTGCCCTGACCCTGCCGATACACAGAAGGCATCTGCACGCTTTGGTTACTGAGCAGAAATGACTGCCACCAGGTTTCCAACTGAAGTCAAAGTTAGGGCCCCAGCCACTGGAGGAAACAGTTTTGAGACAAATCGTCTAGATACTCCCAGAAAAATGAGCTTTGCTGGCTCATTACTTTTCGGGCAATACTACATTGTACTCAAAAGTAAACATGCAGAGAAAGCACTGGACTTCAGTTTGAGCGGAGGCTGGGACATGTTCCCATGTGTTTGCCATCCTAAGTCTGTGTATGGGGGTAGGGGATGATATGTTCACATGCAGAGGCCAGACAAGGACATCGGCTATCTTCCTCTAGTACACTCTATCTTATTAAGTTTTTGGGTAGGTGTGCTGGCTAGCTCCCAGTATCTGCCTGTCTCCATCCCCTAATGCAGGTTAGAAGCCCATGCAGTTATGCCCTGTTTTTATATGGGGATTCAAACATAGGTCCTCCATGCTTGCATAGGAAGCACTCTTACCCACTGAGCCTTCTTACCCCACTCTGTAGTTTTTACAGGGAAGTGTTGCCACTAGATCTGGAAAACATACTCAGCTTCCTCTGTTAGAGCCCCATAAAGTCTTGACTTTACCCTGGACATTCCAATGTGGACATTGTTTTAAATAACTTGGCTGGCTCCTTTGGGACATTGAGCAGGAATGATATGAGCATTGCAGCAAACAGGACTCCAGAGAGCAACAGGGCAGAACCTGGACTCAGCAGTTTAGTCATTTGGTCTGGCTGGCTGTCCCCTTCTGCCCCTACTATCTTCTTCCTTTCAACTTCCTCTCCTTAACCCAAAGGCTGCTGCACAGTCTGTGCAAGACATGAATTGCTAATTTTGCTTAGGTATGCACACAGGATATAGATAAAAACACTAATAGAGGAAGTAGGAACATTCAAGCCACGTGGCAAGGAGAATCAGTCAAATAACATGCAGCCATTAGCAGCTTTTTCCATTTTGACAGTCAAACAGCCTAAAAGTGCCAACATCTATAGGCAAGCAATCCCTGAAGTGCTACTATTTGGAAGAAACCTCCAATTTACTCATTTCTTAGAGAAAAGCAAGGACAAATTACAGCAGGGAGAGGAGAGATGTTGGGATGAATTCAGAGCATTAAAAGGAAAGGGGACAGCAGGGGGACCAGCCAGAAGCAGGAGGGGATGGAGAGGAATCTAGGATAGCTGCAGCATTTAGTGTGGATTCTGGATAGGAAATGATAAAGCCACCAAGATGGAGGCCAGAAGAGTTGGGGACAAAAGCTACCACTGGAGGCTACTTTATGCAGCTGGGAACAGACCCAACAAAAGACAAGGTCAGAGACAGACTGGAGAGAGGAGAGCCAGCTTTGATTACTGTGCACGTTCTGTGGCTAGCACTTCATATGAGTCATCGTAGGCCAGGAGGTAGAAGCCTTATATAATTACCTGCCATTGATGAAACATTAGTGAAATTCTTTGCCCGGGTTAGACATCTAAGAAGTGCAAACCCAAGGATCAAATACAGGTCTGACACCAAATGTCTATGCTACATATCCTTCCTAAGGGACAAGGGAAAGGGTCAGCTGGGTGCACTGTCTCACTGTGGCAAACATGAGTGACATAGCCATATCTCCACAAGGGTTGCATCTGATCCCTCTGTCCTCTTAGGAATCTAGCAAATCTTGAAGATAACATTTTAATTCAGCGCACTCCTGAAGATAGACATCAGCAATTCCGCTTCCATCATATTTTAGTGAGGGAGACCTAAGTCATGGATTATCTCAGAGCCAAGGAAAGAGACCATTAAGATCACATAAGCATAAGTAACCTAATACTTACAGATTCTTCCTTAACTTTGTTCAAAACACAAACACCAAAAACCACTTACCCCAACTGCTAAGAACAGGAGGCAGGAATTTGTCTGCTAATTGAAGTGGGAGCTTTGGTCAAGGGATGTGAAAAACGGTATTATTTTTTGTCTTGGGTAATAATCCTTTTCCTAAGGACCATTGTTTCTAAAGATGGACACATGTTACCAGAAATGTGGAAGGGTCAGAGGGAACTCAGACTGGAGAGAAGCAAATCCCTGGCTGGACAGAGGTTCAAGGACCTGGTGTCTGCCCTTCCTCAGACCTTCACTACCTTTATTCAGTTACCTTGTGGGAATTTCCTAACCCTGCATAGAAAATGGTGACAATTAGCAATTACATCATAGATTTGGTGCAAGGATTAAGAAATTTACAGAGAGCACTTCATGTAATCTCTTCTAAGTCTCAATATGGTAAGAAAACCAAGAGAATCCCGTCTTTGCAAATACTTGGAGTTTATTTTGTTTTGTTTACCTTTTTTGGACAGGGTCTCTGTGTAGCCCTGGATGTTCTGGAACTTGCTATGTAGACCAGTCTGGCCTTGAACTCACAGAGATCCTCCTGCCTCTGGCTCCTCAATGCTGGGATTTTAGAAGTCACACTTTGTGAAGGGTAGTATAACCTGTTGTCAAAAATGATCAAATTTTACTTACTATAGAATTATACTGGCTACTTGAGGCCTGCATTTTCTTTCTTTCTATCTTTCAAGACAGGGTTTCTCTGTGTAGCCTGGCTGTCCTGGAACTCACTCTGTAGACCAGGCTGGCCTCAAACTCAAGAGATCAGCTGCTTGCTGCTTTCCTGGTGCTGGGATTATGGGATCAAAGGCTTGTGCCACCACCACTCTATCAAGGCCACTGATTCTTTGCATCTTGTTATAATAGAGCTAATCATCTTTATCTTACAGCTTTCAGGTAGGGGAGGTTCCTCTATGGATACAGAACACACTCTTCTTACATAGAGAAACACCAAACCAACAACAAATCAGGTGAGCAAGTCCACAAGCATGGGAAACCAGAATGTTTAGTCAACAGACCTCTTGGTTACTTCCAATCTTATCGGAATAAAAGATTTTTGGAAAAGGAAAAACACCTAGTGTTGACTAGGATTCCAACTGATGGAAGAATAAATTGATAAGTTCTTTCTGGAGAGCCATTTGGCAATTAACATCATTTTTTAAAAAACATTTAAAAGAACTTTCAGCTCAGCAATTTTTCCTAAGAACAAAAACTTGGGCTCCAAGAATTAGCAACAATACATTTGTTGACAAATCATTTCTAATTAAAAAAAAAAAAACCCTCAAAAATCAGAATCTAAGATTATAGCAAGACTTGATGATACATGTATTTATATAGTAACCTGGAAAAGGCAACAAACCATTGTGTGAGTTAAGACTATTTGCTTCAAGTGAAAGGAAAATAGTTCAAGGTAGATAGGGGCCTAAAAGTAAGAATATGATGAATGACATGAGCCAAGACAAGCATCGAGGCCTCTTCGGTGAAACGAAAGCTCTGAAGGCCTATCATCAGCTACATTGGTTGCTGGTTTCTTCTCCATGGCACAGTATGGTCACTCACACATTCAGTTCTGCAGTGGTAGAGTCTTTCTAATACATCTACATCAAGAATTAAGATGTGATGAGATGGACTCACCACAGTGTACATGCACCCTGGCTTGATGATATCCGGTACCAATGTCAGCAGCCCAAAGAAGTGGGGCTTGGTACAGCAAGAGAAGCAGCCATGAAGAGGTGTGCAGGGCATGGTTACAGCAAGAGAAGCAGCCATGAAGAAGTATGCAGGGCATGGCTACAGGGTGTGCAAAGCAATCTCACCAACTAGTTCTAGGAAGAAACTTATTTTCCTAGAAAATTTAATAGAAAAAAATACAAGCCAGACCTTAAAAACTGAGAATTTTTCATTATTTCCTTTTTCTCATATTGTAACTTACACTGAAATAATGTAATAAACTTTGAATGTTACTTTTAGAATTATTGGGTCAGTATGTTATAATACTAAATGAGAGGAAAATAGAATTTTGAGAATGTGTATTCATTGCACTGCTTAACTACATGAAATATATACATACAGAATAAGAATGGAAGAAAGCACAATAACACACTAACAGAGGTATCCCCAGGGGATTGAAGTAAGGGCTTATTTATCTCCCAATTTATCACTTTCTCCATTTCCCAAACGTTCCTGGCTATAGCCAGGATGCATGTATGGCTCTCACACTAGGGAAATTATTTTAAGATGTGCATGCCCACACAGTCCGGACTCTGTGTAGGAGGCTGGGATACTGCTGGAAAAAATACCATGATGAGATAAGGGGCAATAGTTTTAATTGCTTTTCTCTTGGACCCAAACACCTGGATCCAGCACCTAGCAACAACAACAACAAAATAACATTTAAGGAGGAATCCCAGGTTTATATTCAAATAACTAGGGCTCAAAAATAACACCTGCATGGTAGAATACTTTAAAAAAACAAAACAAACACATTTTGTAGACAAGGTAATACTCAGAATAACCTTATAGAAATATTTATTACTTGCATTACAAGAAAATGAACTCTTTTCTAACTCTCCTGGGTGGAGGTAGGTTTCACTATACCAGGAAGTCATGCCAATCCCAGAAACATCGAGCTAAAAAAGCACAACTGGGAGAAGCACAAAGTATAACGTTCCCTGCATTGTCCCCTGGTGGCCCCCACATTCCCATCTGAAAATATCCACCACTCTGGTGGAAACTTTGCAGGCTTGTCCTATCCAGACCACAGAGCTAAGTGGTAAATACAAAGTCCACAGGAGGGGGAGAAACTAGAGAAGAGCCATTCCCTATCTTCCAAGAATCTCTGAATTGGCTGTATGTACCTATCCTAGCACTAGACAGAATTAGTGGTGACACCTGGCCTAGAAGGCTTTCACAGAAGGCCTCTAGCTCCCTAGAAACTGAAAAAGTCTGAAATAAGGTTTTTAAAACCCACCAACACAACATGCATATTGTTTTGCAAAATGTACCCCAAACTTCTTATAGAGCTATTTTAATTTTCCTAATCATGGAAGTACAATTTACTAAGTCTAATAAAGTATATTTGTAAAAATAAAATCATTTATATGCTAACATAAAATGAATAACATTTAAAGTAGCTCCAATATTTTAAAACATATTATTCTACCATAATTTATAATACAATGTTTGAAAAACCTACCAAAGTAAGGTCTGACTAACTTGAACCATCCTCAGTTATTTTAAATTAATCATCCACTCATCTCCAAAGGGCTTAGTCACATGGGACCTCAGGTCCCTTTAAGGACTTTTCCTTAAGGGAAAATGGAAGGGAACACAGAAAAAGTGGGCCCCAAATGTGATAAACTGTGTAATATTGGCACTAATGTGACTAAGACGACCAAGAATCAGACATTAAAATCAGTGTTTTCCAAATGGACTTAGTATCCCCATGAAGTGGAGGAATCACCTCCACACAGATCACAGAAATGAGTTCCTAGTAAACTGTGAAAATGCAAACTCACTTTTTAAAATGGAAAATAGTTTTTCTTACTTTAATTCAGCGTGTATTTCTCAAAATAAGATTCACTGTGAACATGACTTTAGGTTCAACTTTACATTGTCTTTAGTCATCAGGTGAGAACTCCAGTACACAAAACAGGAGGTTCATCTGTGCATAAAACAGCAGCAGTAAGCGTGGTCAGGGAACAGCACAGATTTTAGCAAATCAATCCAGTCCTGGTACAGAGGCATCCATCTGAACCCAGGAAGAAAACCTAGGCCAAAAAGCTAATGAACTTCTGGGTGATCTTGCCTACCTCAAAATAGTCATCATATTTAATGTGGTAGAGCTCACATTCAACAACCTATAAAGGCCTAATGCAAAAAATTGCCAATTTGTGTTGCTGAGGGTTTTAAACTAAATCTTTTATGCTGTGTTTAGCACATAATAAAATGGTACAAAGATTGGTTTTAAAAATCAAATGTGAGGGGGCTGAACAGCTGGCTCAGCAGTTAAGAGCACCAGCTCCTCTTCCAGAGGACCTAGGTTCAATTCCCAGCACCCACATGGCAGCTCCCATAGGGTTTGCCTTAGACCTGAGACAATCCCTCATCCTCCGCCTCCGTAACTCCAATTCCAAGAGATCTGACACCCTTAAACAGACATGCATGCAGGCAGAACACCTACCTATTCACACAATACAAATAAAATAAATCACCTTTAAAAAAAATGTGAGCTATCTATATTAAAGCTACGAGTATAATTTCTGCCTCTCCATTGCTAATACCGTGCTTAAAATTATGCAAACAACATCCAGTAAACATTATTTTATTTTATGACACTCTGCATTAATACAATAAATATACAAAACTTCCAAACCACTGAAAACATGCAACATGAGAGGGACAAATGGAGGGCATTTACACAGAACCATGACAGTTGCCATAAGGGCAGCGCAATATTATGCACCAACAAAATATACAAAAATCCCTAGAGAAATAAACCAAGCCCCAAATCACAAATCACCAAGCAATTATTTTCCAGTGTTCAGACCCTATATTTAAATAAAATAGCCACTATTTGATATCGAAAACTGAAAAGTGACATGGATGCCTGTTCTACATGAAGCTCATTTCATGGCTGTGATGCCAGGTGACATTGGTATAAGTAGGAAAGACTAGTTATCTTTCACCAAATGAAAATGCCCTATGACCAACTGTTAAGAGAATGGTAAACCAGCAATTTCAAGATGTTTTCACACCTGACCCAGCCACAGACACTACCATCATTTTAATGCTCCTTTGTGTTTTCAAACATAATCTCTTTCAAACTTGTATGAACCCAAACAACTGGATTGAACAACAGCATTTTCCTGCTCATACATAAAAACATAATGTGCCTTAACTATTCTTTGCCATTTAATAATGCTACCTCCAAGGACCTCTACATAATGGAGAGGGAGCATTCTCATTTTTGAAGGAAATTATTTTTTAAATCTCTGATGTATCTTTCATTTGTACTTCAGAGACAAATAAGCATGGATTTGGAATATAAGTACATGGTCTATATGTGTACTTTCACGGTCTTGGTGACATTGGTGTATGTCTATAAAACCCATACTCAATGAAGTACAAGCATCACCAGGTCTCACTAAGGCCTCAGGCTCTCAAGTACTACTAAGCTGGGTGAAAATGAAGAGAAGATCATCACTAATCAGAAGTGTTCATAAATACAACTTCAAAGTCACATCCTGAATCTTACTTTCTTCTAAATAAAATAAGTATTTCAATACTCAGTGAATTCCCAAGCAAATCTAACACAGCCCATGTGGGTGGACATGTGATCCGGTAGCCCACAGACCTTCTTCATGAAGACTAAGAACTGTGCCCCAGCCCAGCACCAAATTCCCCGACTCCAGATTTAGGAAAAAGACTAAAGTGTCTCAACCATTTAAGCCCATTTTTAAAAGTTATCCTGTCTCAGCAACCATTCTTGTTTAAAATCAACTTGAATAAATCACAACCTATCATTCTGCCATCTAAAACTAGTAAGACTTTCAAAATAAAATAGTCTGATTTACAAATGTTCTTGAGACATTTAATTATTATTAAAAATGATTAAAAGTCTGAACCCACATCGGCCTGTGCTGCATAGGAACAATGTCAATATGATTATATTAATAACACATTTAACTGTACTTGTACTTTCTTGCTTGGTCGATGTTTTACATGTATTTAGTCTGTCTCAAAAAGTAAACGACAGGTACATTAAGAAATCAAGTATATTAGAAATGCTAGGGGCTTTTATTTTTAATGCAACTAAAAGTGAGAGGCTAAAAGAAAAATCCCTTAAATACTGTGTGTTCTTTTTATTCAAGGGTTAGGCTAGCCTTTAATACCTGTGCCAAAATCTCTCTCTCTCTCTCTCTCTCTCTCTCTCTCTCTCTCTCTCTCTCTCTCTCTCTCTCTCTCTCTCTCTCTCTCTCTCTCTCTCTCTCTCTCTCTCTCTCTCCCTCTCTCTCTCTCTCTCTCACACACACACACACACACACACACACACACACACACACACGAAGCTGCCAAATACAATCCCAGTTCAATTAAAAAGATTAGTCAGAGGAATATACCAAAGTTTCCATACAGTAAAATTTTACTATATGAATACTGAAAATTAAGAGGGAGAAAAAAGGAATTATCACTATATTCTATTGCATCAATTCACTACCTTCTCTTTTGGATAATGCACTGCACATTATATTAAAGTCTTTATACTCCAGTAAATTTTTACTTAAAAGAAACTATTACAGAAAATCATTTCTGATTCTATAAAGAGCCCCAGCTCCTACCACTATAAGCAGTACAGAACCCAGAATACTAATTCGTTTCACTTAAGAGACATGGTACCCATGCAAGGTCAGAGATTGTTATCAAAATATCAACTAGTCTAAAAATAAAATAAAAGAAGGTAAAATATACATTATCTACTACAAAGCACACAGGCTCTTCACTGGTGACTGAGCCTCCTAGAAAGCAAGCCGATCTAAAAACACCCAAATCTTTCTGTCCTCGTTCCTGCAATATTAACAGAGAAAGAAAAGAAACAGATATAGTTTCATTTCCAATGTACAACCCTTATCTGTACTGACTCCTGGAAGAACCGCTGTGGTTAGTATCGAGTGCTTTTTAAATCTTTGTCACATACTCATTTCAGTGTGTCACCACTGAAATAATCTGAGGAACACCATCCCCCAAAAATATGGAGAATATTTATTTAGCAGATGGTAGTTTTCTTCTGTGAGGGGCATGGACATATTAAGAAACTATTAGGTGAAATAATGGTTTTAGACCATGCACATGTGAATAGGAAATACCCATGCTGTGTGTACTGTGTGTTTCCAACATAAAAATATCCGTAGAATACAGTAACTGGAGAAAAAAATACAGTCAAAAGTAACAGTGCACTGCTGCGAGGCCCTCTATATCTGGTTACCCTTGAAGGCATTCTGCGCCGCACTGGTCGCTGCAGTTGAAGCTGCATTTGCAGCTGCAGTCTGGACAGTTTTGTTGGACATCACTCCTGTTGCAAACTCTTGCTGGGCCTTCTCAAAGCTAGCACCTGTTGTGCGATACAGTCCATGTACCTGCAGAAGCAGAAATAAATCAATGCGGGAGGTCAGTGGTAATCTGTGCATGCGCTGCCAGCTAGTTGAAGTTAACTTCATTTCACAGAGTATGAGGACCACAGGGAGAGTGGGAGAGAAATGGGAGAAGAAAAAAAGAAAAACCATGAAATCAGCTTTCTTCCCTAGGTCCAAAATAAAGTGAGAGACATGAACAGAGTGGGGTTAACAATGACATAGTGCTTTCAAAGAAAGTAAATCCTGCTGCTGGGTGGTGGGGGCACACACCTTTGATCCCAGCTCTTGAGAGGAAGAGGCAGGTGGATCTCTGAGTTCAGGGCCAGCCTGGTCTACAGAGTGAGTTCCAGGACAACCAAGCTACACAAAGAAACCCTGTCTCAAAACAAAACAAAAAACCCAAACAAACCTGCCATCTTTAGTATAAATAGACCACCCTTCATATACAATAGAACATCTTCACGCAGTATTTACTGTAAAACACCAATTTAACGAGTTAGTGGGCTTTATTAGTCACTATTCTGAATCACATGCTTCCAACTCCATACTCCCCTCAAATGAAAAGGACATCTGAAGATCAGACATTTCAATAAGTTGTGTGGTTTTTTTTTTACATTTCAGTAAGTCGTTTCTTTTTTTAATTAAAGCACTTAAACTTTATTTTTTAAGTAAACTTGGTTTTTTAAAGTGAAAAAACTTCAAAAATTCTTTTGAAATGCAAAAACTCATTAGTAACTACTATATTAATGTTGACATGAATATTTATGAACAAGTTCCCAAATTCCATAGGAAAAAATGAAAACCAGGTTCCCAAAATACAAATTGTATATTGTCTATTTGTCACTTCAATATTAAGTAATTCCACCTAATTCAGCGGTTAAGGAAGGGCAACGTCTAAAGGTTCTGACAGCTTTCTGCAGTTCATATGTGTGTATAGCTAACAGACTCCTTTAGAACATCTTTGTATTCTTGAAACACCACCCAGTGCTTTCTAATATTTCACTGTAGAAACAGAATATTTAACACAATTAGAAACAATTGGCAGGGCCAGGTGGTGGTGGCAAACACTTTGACCCCAGCACTTGGGAGGCAGAGGCAGATGGATCTCTGAGTTCAGGGCTATCCTGGTCTACAAAGTGAGTTCCTAGACAGCCAGAACTATACAGAGAAACCTTGTTTTAAAAAGAAAACAATGAAACAGTTGAGGGAAAATCATCAGTGAAAGCTAAGGATTTCTGCCTGTAAAGCAGCTTGGGAGATAGAAAATTTTCAACACTCCAAATCTGGGCTAAGAAACACCACCATGGCAGAAACCAAGGCACACTGAGCATCCAAACACAATAACCAGCTCTAATTGTGTAAGATTTCAGAATGATAATGAGTTCTCAACAATACATTCATTTTCATCAAAACAAATACTGCATAGCAGATTTAGCAAGGGGTGAAGGGAGGACAAGGCTGGCAAACCACTAGTCTAGGCAGGAACTATATGCACAGACCTTCCAGAGGGCATGTACGGTCCATGAAGAGCCTGACCCCTAGTGGTGATAAACTAGGGCTGCATATTCCAACAAGGGTTTTTGTTTGTTTTCTGGTTATTTTTGATAAATTTGTTACTAGTTTTTGAGTCAGTGTTGAAGAATCAGTTGTTCTCGGATCTCAGTTTACATCAGGGTTAGAGACGATATGAGGATTGCTGATTGCTTCAAATTATAATTTAGTTTATATTGCCATTTATTACACTTCAGGACATCATACAGAAAATCATTCATCCGAGCTCCTCATTTCATAGGTAAGAATGAGATAGCACCGACTGATGGTAAACACATAAAAGAATCATCTAGTAACTTTAAATTATGAGTTTAAAAATTAACTCAAATATCAAAGTCTTCACATAATGCTAGTAAGTACTTTTATCCTATTTGGGAAATAAACTTATTTATTTTGAGTGCCTGGCAAGTGAACATGAGCTCCAATATGCAACTATCTCTTTCATGGAAAACAGTAAAAGCAGAGGGGGAAAGGAATTCCTGACTGGATTTCAGACCCTGCACAGGACTGACATAGCCACTGCAGAATGAGCGCTCCCTCCACACCCTGCCTGCTACTCCCTTCTCATGCTGGAGTGTTCTGGAGAGTTCTGCCCTTGGCCCACTTCTGGCTCTGTGCTTCTTTGTGTTTTATCAGGCTTCGCTGACCTCAGAAAGCCAAAAGGTCCCAGCCTGAATTCCTTTGCTGCTTCTACTTGTCTGTCTAGACGGCGACCAGGCTTATCCATATGCCTGCTCTACTGGGACTTCAGACTCCCTTTTTCTCTTTTCTTTCTTTCTTTCTTTCTTTCTTTCTTTCTTTCTTTCTTTCTTTCTCTCTCTCTCTCTCTCTCTCTCTCTCTCTCTCTCTCTCTCTTTCTTTCTTTCTTTCTTTCTTTCTGTTGTTGTTGTTCAAGACAGGGTTTCTCTGTATAGCCTTGGCTGTCCTGGAACTACCTCTGTAAACCAGGCTGACCTCAAACTCACAGAGATCCTTCTGCCTCTGACTCCTGAGAGCTGGGATTAAAGACGTACACCACCACCTGGCCCAAAGTTGTTTCTGTATGTGTTACTTGTACATGATCTGAACTTCCAGGCAGTATGAAAATGATGGTGAAAGAAATTTAATGCTTAAATAATTCAGTGTCTTTAAATTCTAATATGGAAAAAAATCTACCTGGTACAATAATTTTATTTGTATTTATTCATCAAGCTAATAAGCTTCATATTGAAAAAAAAGCACATAAAGGTGTGATTTCAAAACTGACTTTTGAGGCTCTAATTTACAATGAAGATTTCATTGACTGTACCTAAAAGTACAGGTGCAGGAGCTTCATCTGAAATGCTTGGCAGCAAGGAGGTTTCTGATTTCTGAATACTGCACACATATCACCAGATGCCCTTGAATGGGACTCAAATCTAAACATGAAGCTCCATTTGTATACATATATTCATATGGAGTTTACACAACATTTTAATATGTTTGCTTTCCGTAACTATAATCTATATAATCTCTCCTGTGAGGTCAGGAGGGGAATTTTCCTCTTATGGTACCCAAGTCCATGCTCAAAAAGTTTCTTATTGTTGAGCATTTTGGGTTCTAGATTTTCAGATCAGGGATGTTTTCACTTTTTATATCAATCTTAAAATATGGTATCATTTTTACATGTGTCTAGATATAACCATAAACCCTAATCCTTGAAGAACAAGCATGCAGAACCCCAGAAATGTGCTCGGGTCCCACTAGTCTACCAGCAGTGCGGGCTGATGGGACCTGACCTCGGGGTCACGGTAACATGTCTGGAGACCAGTTCTCACTTACTTTTTTAAACATGACGAGTGAGATAACTGCTGATGCTGTGAAAAGTGCTGCGATCATTATCATCATGATTCCAACTGGGATGTTTTTATTGAGGCCAGTAAGGGATGAAATCCAACCACTGAAGAATAGCAAAAGTGCAATTAGGCAGGTAAGTCAATGCACCTCTCAAAAACAACAATAGGGAAGGCACCTCAGCACTTGGACCATTTTCTCAGGCTCCCGTAGGACGCTGCTTATTCTACATATAAGGGACTAACTCAGACCTTCAGTGTCCAGGTCAAACAGCTGAGAAGCATAATCTGAATCCACCAGCAAAACACACTCCAGATCCCCAAGAGTTCACCAGATTATTGTGGTTTTTAATATAATGCATATTAAATGTGTGGGTTCTTTATTACATTTTTAAATGCTTATTTTCAATTATGGAAGAAAATAATATGCAGACCACATATCCAACAAATGATTCACTTTTAGAACAGAGACTGAACTTTTATAGCTCAGCTTTAAGGCTCAAATGTGAAATGTCCCCAACAAGACTCATTTGTTTGAGCACTGAGGCCCAGCAGGCAACACTGTTTTGGAAGGTTGCAGACATTTTAGGAGGAGGGACCTATTAGGAGGAAGCAGATCCAGGTCCTGGGTGCTGTAGGTTCATTATCTCTACCTCCTCTCATCTGCCCATGGGAACCATGCTTCCCGCTCTGGGACTGACAGACGGAGGGGCTGTGTGCTCCCTTCTCTGCTGTCACTGACGGATGGACCCGAAAGCCCCTGAAACCATGACCTATGACCCCAAAGAAATCCTCCCTCCTGAAACATGCTTTTGGGCTTTTTTCCACATTAATGAGAAAATTAATACATTCAGCCACATCAAAAAACAAAATAACAACAAAAATACAAGCCAACACAACTCATTTAGTAACCATGTGAGACATTTCAACAAGAGGACATAAAAATTAGGCAAATAAGCCATAAAGACATCAAAATATTAGTCATTAGGTAAATATAAATTCAAACCTCAAGGAAAGATTAGAATACACATGTGTGTGAGTGGGTGAGCACGAGCACACGGGCACGTACACACACACACACACACACACACACACACACACACACACACACACACACACACACACACCAAAATGGCTAAGATAAAAGACGGAATATAAAATAGCACAGCCTAGAAAGTTTGTCAATTTCTTTGAAAAGCCTAATACATGATTTCTAAATGAATTAACAAATTGTAAATATACTGTTAATCATAGAAATGAAAACTACATGCCCATGAAAACCTGGTCCCAAATGTTCATGGTGGTTCTGTTTCTAATAGCTCCCAACCAGAAACAATTCAGGACCAATTAATATGTGGTCCATACCCCAGAATACTATTCAAGAATGAAAAGATGGGGCTGGGCAGACAGTGCAGTGATCAAAAGCACTGAGTTCTTCCAGAGGACCTGGGTTCAATTCCTAGCACCTACATTGATGCTCACAACCTCTGTTAACTCCAGCCTCGGGGCCTGATGCCCTCTTCTGGCCTCTCAAGGGCACTGCATGCACATGATGCACAGACTCAAGCAAACATTTATACACATAAAATATAAAATCTAAAAAAAAATAATAAAAGAAATTAGAGCTACATGTAGCTGAGGGGGGAAAGCCAGTATTTAAAGACTATATAGATTCCATTTATATAACCATCTTACAGTGACAGAATAATAGAAATGACAAGTAGCTTAGTAGATGCGAAGGGAGGGTGGGGACAGGAGAGCAGGAAGTGTAGCCATGCAAAAAGCAACATGAATCTTTCAGTGATAGAAATGTTCTGTCAATGTCAAGGTCCTTTTCTTTATTATTTTACTGTATTTTATACTATTGGGGACACTGGTTGAAGGATGCCTAGGAACTCTCTACGGTCTTATAACATGTCAATTGTTATGTGTATAACAATTACCTTCATTTTAATTATGATTAAAAAACACCCAAATTAAGCTGGGCGTTGGTGGCATATGCCTTTAATCCCAGCACTCGGGAGGCAGAGACAGGTGGATCTCTGTGAGTTCGAGACCAACCTGGTCTACAAGAGCTAGTTCCAGGACAGCCTCCAAAGCCACAGAGAAACCCTGTCTCAAAAAAACCAAAAAAAAAAAAAAAAAAAAAAAAAAGGCACCCAAATTATATAAGGTACAACTGAAAACAGTATTTGTCTCCATTAGCAGACTCTGTGGTACATGGGCACAGACTGCTATGTTCAACTGCATAATATTTGTTTATATTAAAAAGCTGATGAAATTATTTCAACTTCTAAAGATATAATATATATATATATATGTATGTATGTATCAGTATAACAGTGCATTTTTAAAACATGTAAAGCATTTCCTGTCATGCATATGCTAGACTAACCACTATCTAAAATAATGATGAAAATAGCTTTTCCAAGAACTAACTGAAAACAACCAATTCTAGCCTCTGAACCCCAGATATTGCCTACTCCACTAAGTGAGCATCCCACCATGGTGAGAATTTTATTGTTGAAAGGTATGTGTACATTTCCAAACACGTGTGTGTGTGTGTGTGTGTGTGTGTGTGTGTGTGTGTGTGTGTGTGTGTGTGTGTAAAACTGGAACCCTTTTCCTTTATATTCTTGAAGATCTTCTCTCCAGACACTGATCCTGCCCTCTCTCTGATCTCTTTGGTCTCCTTTACACAACTCCTTCCACTGCCCTTTGTGAACGTTTTATTTAAAATATGTGTCCAATATGCTGGCTTTTAAAATGGGAGCATAATCTTTGAAGAGAATAGCTTTTCCAAAGTTATGATTTAAAATGTTTTCAAATTGTTTTTTTTAAATACTTTTGTTTTCTGTGTTTGCTTTTGCCAATCTGACTTTTGCTGTGTTTAATTCACTAAGATACCAAATTTGTCACACAAATATTAAATTAACAACTTAAAAATAGTAAAGAACTCACCAGTTTCCCCAGTTATGAAACCCTGCAGCCTGGAGCACATGCACGGCGAACTGACAAATATACACGAAGAAGAACACAAAGAACCTGAAGGAACTGTCACTCCTTAAAAGAAAAGGGGAGAATGTCACTCTTCACATCACCTTCCTCTCTGAAAGCAGACTGACACCAAACCTTCAGGGGCCGAGCCCTGAAGACCCACACTGCCACTTCAGCATCACTCTGCAGACAGTTGTCACTATCCTGGCTAACTTCCGGCTACACCAGAATTCACCTTGACAGAAAATTCAGTGTTCCATTAAAAAAAAAAAAAAGTTTTCCTTGGTTTTTGTGTATGGCTGTTTTGCCTGCATGTATGTCTGTGCACCATGTGTGTGCAGTAACCTTGGAAGCCAGAAGAGAGGATCAGATATGTATTTGGACTTTACCCCTTTGATACTGAGAACTGAAGCTTCCTCTTTCCTCCTCCCTCCTTCCACCCAGTTTCCGGTCCTCCTGAGTGGCCGCTTTGAGAATTATAATGAATGGGATATATGCAGTCTGTTCTCTTTCCTGCCCTGCTTCCTTCATTCAGCAGTTATTCAGTCACCTGTGTGTGCATGCAGAACTTCCGCTCCTCCCACTGTTGGTGTCATTCATTGGTGGCAGGGAGGGGTGTTGTTCCCGGCCTTTTGCTATTACAAATCATGCTGCTGTGGGTCTTCATAAGGACACAGACTTCCTTTAAACTTGGTTAAACACCAATACATGGAATGGCTAGTGCATGTGGTAAATATGCATTTAAAGTGTTGAAGAAACTGCTGAACTGTTTCACAAGGTTGCTCTTTTTACACTCCTATTACAGTGGGTCTTTTGGGTCCTCTGCGTCTCATTAACACTTTCTGTGGTCATGTTTACAATCCTAGCCATTCTAATTAACATGTATGGTTGTGCTTGTAACAGTTATCTTGATTGCCAACTGGGCTGGGCTCATGGAATCTAGGAGATATTAATAAAGCAGACCTCTGAGGCATTTCTAGAGAAATTAATCATGAGGGCTCTGACCTAGTGAACAGTTTAAACTGATGCTGGATTCAAAATTTGAGTGGGCTGTTGGGGGATGGCAGAACTGTGGAAGGTGAAGCTTGGTTGGAGGAAGTAGGTCATGGTGAGGGCTTTACCCTGTCTTTCCTGTTTTCATTCTACTCTGCTCCCTGGCTACCATGATGGGGACTGCTCCCTCATAGGCCCACCATCACGAACCCAAACAGCTGAAATCACAAACAAAACCAACCTTTTTCTTCAGCTGCTGGCATTTTGTTATAGCAACAAGAAAGCTAACAACACTAGTGTCTTACTTTACACATTCTCAGTAAGGAATGTCTGTTCAGAGACTTGTTATTTTATCCATAGATCTTTGACTGTGAAAATCTTGTTCTTGTGCCTTAATTAGATTTCCTCTCTTATTCTTGATTTTTGAGAATTTAGAAAATATATATTTTGGATAAGTCCTTACTTAGATGCATGTTTGGCAAAGATCTTGCAGTCTGGGGCTTGTCTTTCCACTCTGTGCATATTTATGTATAAAAGCATGCGAGCTCAGAGCATCATGTCTTCTCAATCTGTGCATATATGTATATGGAAATACATGTGTGTTCAGGCATCCTAGAGTGGCAATACAATCTGTGCATATCTGTTTATGGAAGCATGTGTGTGGGGGGAGCATCTTAAGAGTATCTTCTGGGAAAAAGCTTGGCCTTTTTATGAATTCCAGTTTGTATATTCATTTATGTTTATTTTAGTATTGAGTTAAAACAAACCACCAAGGCCAAAAAGATGAAGACCTTCCCTGTCTCCTCCATAAGGTCTGTGGCTTGCAGCTCTTGCACCTCCATGCATACTCTTTGAACCAACTTTCTGAAAACACAGCATAAGGACTGGGATAGCCAAGCATCCCAGTCAGGGCTCTTAAACAGCCTTGTCTGGGCTGCACAGACTTTGGATCTTTCTCAAACATCAGATGCTAGTCACTGCCCTTGTAGAGATTCAGTTCCCAGCACTCACATGATAGCTCACAACCATCTAAAATTCCCTTTCCAAGGGATCAAATGCCCTCTTCTGGCCTCTGCAAGCACTGCAGGCACATGGTGCGCCCCCCACATACACAAATACATACACACACACACACACACACACACACACACACACACACACACACACAAATAAAAGTAACTTTTGATTTTTGAACATTCATTTTTACAGGGCTAGAGAGATGGCTCAGAGGTTAAGAGCACTGGCTGCTTTTTTAGAGGTCCTGAGTTCAATTCCCAGCAACCACATGGTGGCTCACAACCATCTATAGTGGGATCTGATGCCCTCTTCCGGCATGAAACCATACATGCAAATACAGCATCATACACATAAAATAGATAAATGGTAAAAGGAAAAAACTTTTTAAAATTGGTTTTTACATATGGGAGGGTTCATTTTAGCTTGTAGACTGTTCATTTGTTTATGATAAAGGAGCACTGATGACATAAAGATATCATGCTAAGGTTACGGGAGCTTTTGTGTAAGTCTTCCAGTTGGGTGGCAGTCTGTATCGGTCTGCCAACTCTGTTGTTCTTTTGCAGACTTGCTTTCACTACTTTAAGGCCTTGATCCTTCTATTCATTTCTGGAAGAATCATTTCACATTTCTAGAGAACAGCCTGCTGGCATTTTGAATGGGGTTATGTTGCAGACCTGCAGAATTGTTTTGAGAAATCCATACCTTAGTACTAGTGAGTCTTCTAATCCATTAAAAAGATATGTATCTCCATTTATATTTTCTATAGAGATGATTATGGATCTATAAGTATAGTTTTGCTTCTTTTCAGACTTGGATGCCCTTTGTTTCTTTTCCTTACCTAATTCTAGTGGTCAGAACTCTACACAACTCTGAACAGGAATGTTGAGAATGAATGTCTTTGAGCATTCCTGACCTCAGAGAAAGCAAACTCTCAGCCTCACAGCACAACACGTGTGTCAGCTGTGAATTAAAGTTCTCAGCCTTACAGTTCCTTTTCTGCCTAAAAAAGTCTCTCTTCTTCTCCAACTTAATTCCCTGTTTCTAACATAAAAAGACATTGAATTTTGTCAAATGTTTTTTACTGTATTAGTTAAGACAGTCAGTCATGCTATTAATAAATCTTAGGTTATGATTTAGTGAACTACCCCTAACTTTCTAATATAAAACCAACCACGTAAGGCAACCACATGTTGAGGCACATGTCTGTAAACCAGTACTCAGGAAGGCTGAAGCAAGAGGATGCCAAGTTCAAGGCCAGCCTGGGGCCACACAGTGACTCTCTTGCAAAAAGCCAAACTTTTGGAAGAAGTTTTTGGAAGAAGCTCCATCCACTTGGCACCATGTTTTAATTAGCCTCAATTTATCACAGTTCTGTTCAACACATTTTCCAAGGACCGAATTGTTCTATTTGCTAAAACTTAATCCCAAACTGTTCAGCAGAAAGGAAAAGTGATGGGAGTAAATCCCTTCAACTTCTATAGCGCCTTTCCTTCTTCATGGGATCCACCAGCCTTCCCACCCACCTCTCGCTGAAGAGGCAGTGTCTGTCCTCCGCCCACCCACTTGAGAGCTTCCTCATCCTCTGCCCTGAGTTTTCACGATCAAAGCAAGCGCCTCACTTGTGTACACACTTATACCACACATTCTTCTTCTCTTACATTCCTCAGAAAGAATGCTTAGGGTTAGTGTTTTCTCTCCTGCACCATGGATGGATTTAACACCTGCAGGTGTTCTCAGCCAATAGTGTCAAGACAAGAGACTGAGCAAGACTTTATCAAAGAACGAGATTTCCTGTTTTCATAAGAGTGCCCTGGCTTCAGATTCTCAGCTTGTTCAGAAAGCTGGGAGGATCTGGGTGCTCCATAAGCTTCAGGAAGACTTTGAAGTCATTTCTCATCTTCAGCTCTGCCTGCATTGCCTTGCATCTGTATCTCCTGCTATGGCTCAGTCTGGGGAGCCTGTAAGGATACTCACTGAGGAGCAACATAGTTTGACCTTTACTTTTTCCATTGCTAACTTGAGTTTCAGTTTCCATTAGATCAGTTACTGCTCCCTGCCCATGGCTGGTTTCCTCATTTGTTGCTCTATAGATGGAGCCAAGACCTAATGTATGGCAGGCTGACCCTGTGGGTTTATACCTGACCTCCCAACAGGAATAAATACGTCCTCTACCACATGTGGGTGGAGTATGCTATGCAGTACAAGTCACTAATCCTTGACATTCTTAAGGCTCTACAATCTTTTTAAAGGTCATTTGTACCAGTGTGTCAACACCATCCTTTAGAATAGAGGTTCTGTAGGTTCCTACCTTATTACAATGTTGCTATTTTGCAATTGATTCGGGTAGACACCCCTCCCCCCAGTGTTAACGCACACTGGAATATTTACTAGTGGTGTTTATCTCTTGAATAGCTGTATAAGCAATGCATTTGGTGTTATTACAAAGTCCTGTGCCAGCTAAGGGTGGGAAAAATGGATCCTGTTGCTTGGTGACTATTTCACAAAGGCAACACATTAGCCAGGAACAGAGGACTGTGTTAGGACTTCTTGTCAGAGTATATATTAGGGCATGACAGTAACAAGACAGCTTATAGTTTAGAGCAGCTGAAGCAGAGGGTGGGGATACAAGAGTAGTCCTCCAGCCCATCCTCCATGGAGGATGAAGTCCATGGAGAGATTGGGACTTTTTCCTGAGGTAGGTAACTTTCAAACTTTAGACGATCATATTGGGTCTTATCCTATACAGAAGCTTTACAGTAGCAATGGAGACAGAATATAGGAAATAATAAAAAAAGGAACTGAGAAGTAGTCTAAGCCAGAGATATGACAGAAATGAAGTGACTACCACTGTGGCAGCTAGGAGCAAGGAGTGTTTAAAAAGGGATCTTCAAGGGGGCAGAGGCAGGCAAATCTCTGAGTTCGAGGCCAGCCTGGCTATAGAACTTCCACGACAGCCAAGGCTACACAGTGAAACCCTGTTTTAACCCCCACCCAGACTCCCCAAAAAAGGCTCTTCAAAGTCAGAAACAAGGGGGAAAATGAAGGCAGAAATTTAGCTTAGAAATTCAAAGATTTCTTAGGATTTAAGAGTTGTGTAGAGAAGCCAATGAGAGGCAGGAGGTAGAGGAACCAAGTGAGAAATGGCTCTTTGACTCTGTCTTCAAAGGGAAGGAGGAAGGTAGAGGTGCTGGTACTGAGCCAGAAAACACAGCAATGAGGTGGCCCTGCGACATGACTTCCTTATTGCAGGTCCTGTTCTACCCACAAATGTGCTTTTCAGTCCATACTTTAAAACTAGCTTTATTCTTTGTAAAGTTATGTACACTAGCTGCAAGTAAGATAATAGTGCATGGGAATTCTGCAAAATCAGTAGTCTCATGGCTTCATCACAACTGCAGTCCCAGGCACCACTAAGCTTTGATTGGGTCACTTTGGTGGCCACATCTTGCTTAGCTTACCCTGATGCTTCCTAACATTATCAAACTGTGAAGAGGGTTACCATTCCAGTAAATGGAGACCCTGTTTTCCTCCCAAGTCTTCCCAGCAGTCTACTACACATAACCTTGGGGTTATCAGTAGTACTGCTCACTTATTAGGCCTGTGAGGTTCCCGAATACGACCGAATATTCACAGCTGAGGCATAGTAATGTGCTGTTAATGGGATTCCTAGCTTACATTTCTGTTTCCCTGGAGTTAGAAATTACCTTTTGTGGATGATTTTTACATATTCCTATTAGTACTTGACCACTAATTCTCTTAATCTGTATAAAATCCTTTTTAACCTATTCAAATTAATTCTGCCAATTGTATCTCCAAGGAACTGTTTCTCTTAAAACCTAACCAGTTGTCTTAGGGTTTCTATTGCTGTGAAGAGAAACCATGACCATGGCAACTCTTATAAGACAGACATTTAATTGAGGTAGCTCTCTTACAGTTTCAGGGGTTTAGTCCATTATCATCATGGAGGGGAGCATGGCCGTGTGCAGGTAGACATGTTGCCAGCTACACCTTGATCAGAAGTAGTCCGTGACACTGAGCAAAGCTTAAGCAAGAGACCTCAACCCTTTCCCCACAGTGACACACTGCCACTCACTATGAACTTGTGGGGGCCAGTTACATTCAAACTACCACTCCAGCTTATATTTGAACTTCTGGAGCCAGAATGCAGGGTACCAGCCCACACAGAATGCACTGCTCCACTGTCTTCTAGTATCCTGTGCTGCTATTCAAAACTGATGTCATCCTGATGATTTGAAAATAAGTTTGGGAAGTTTTCTACTTTATAAAGGGAAAAAGTAAAGGGATAGAAAAACAGAGGAAAAATAGATTTTTCTCTTATTATATTAGCAAGAGTTTCATTAAAAAGATTAGAAACAAAGCAGAAAGAAACAACCAAAGATTGGTACAATTACCTTTCTCAGAACCTAAGGACCTAAGGCTACACCTGGGCAGGGCATTTCAAGTAAGATATATCAGGAAGATAAGCTCCTGGCTATAACTCCTAAAGAGACTATTATGGCCAAAGGAGATAAATGGGGGAAATGGAAAGCTGGTTTCCCATACAAAAGGCAGTGATGACTCATCAGTTTAGAATAAAGGGGAAACAATCACATGATCATGTCAACAGACACAGAAAAGCACCCAGGAAGCTCCAGTACCATTCAGGATAAAAATTTCCATAAGCTAAAAATAGAGGAGAGAGGCCTCAAACCAACAAAGGGTGTCTAAACAGAAGTCTGCAGCTTACATCACAGATGATGCTGATTCCTTCCTCTAACACCTGGAACAAGACATGGCCACCACCCCACCTTCACTCTCCAGAAACTGCAGCCAGTTACTAAGGCTGTCAACAGGAAGAAAGAAGCAAGGCAGATGGTTAAGAATAACCCATTTGTAGGAAATGAGAGAAACTGCACAGGGTAATGGGAACTCGGGGCTCAAGGGATGTTGCTTCCTACTCCACCCCCACCCCAAGAAGCTAGGATGAAACATGTAGCATCTGCCCTGGTCCAGCATTCTCTTCTTAAAGCCATATGGGGTCACAAGGGGCTCCACAGCAAAGAATGTTTTCATGGTCACATCACAAGGCACACTAAGCACTTAGAGTCTAAGAGATTAGGAAATGAAGGAGTTTGCCTAACTTTATTAACTAGCTATGCTAAAACTAAGCTAATGAACCAATTAACATTCATTACCCAGGATATTTAAATAGTGGTTAATTCTATGTAAAATAGTTTTCTTTATTTTATAGCTTAAGTATGTTTTAAATGTCACTGTTTTTGGAGAAACTAAAGATTAATATACACAGGAAGTATTTATCAAGCTGCTGAGTTAAAGTGTTTCATATGTGTTTGCCTTACTTGGATTTATCTTAAAATGAAGGCTGTAAACACCAGTTACAATTCTGAAATTAGGCATGTGAGGAAAAAAGGAGTAAATAGGTTTTCCTAAAGTCAGGTATGATGTACGGCATAAAATGTTACATGTTAAAATCTAAGAATGTTAATTCTCCTTTATTGATTTTTCAAGTTTTGATTTAATGCAAGCAACTTTTCTGAAAGTATGTATAATAAAAATTTTAATTTTATATTATGCTTATATTTATTTTACTGGGGAAAGAGGTGTGCTTGCCATGGTGTTCATGTGGAGGTCGGAGGACAACCTGCAGGTCAGAGAGCAGCCTGCATGAGTCAGTCCCCTCCTTCGGCCATACAGGACCTGGGGATCAAACTTAGGTCACCATATTTGACAGCAAGCACTTTTATCCATTGAGCCATCTCACTGGCCCTTATTTTTTAAAAATTTAATGAAAATATACCAACTTTCCCTTTGGGGTATAATATAGATTATTCATTTCATGGGTTATTTGTTTGTGGCAGGGTCTAACTACGTTGCCCAGGCTGGCCTATGGCAATCGTCCTACTTCAGCCTCCTGGGTGCTGAGATTCCAGGAGTGAGCCACCACCCACACGCTTCACAGGTTTTATAGCATATATCAAAAATGCATACTTTACCTGAAAGCTCCGTATAGCGGTCTGTACCAACAGACAAATGAACAGGGGGTAAAAAGCAAGAACCACAGGATACTCAGTCCAAAGTCCACTGCTCTTGAAGCATCAACACAAAACCAAGCCAGGCATCCGAAGATGTTTAGAAACAGAGTTACAGCGTGGACTGTGGGATCAGAAGACAAAACGGGCTGTTTACTTCAAGTCACCATCCAACTCGAGTTACAAATGAAAAACACTTCCTAAGAGCATGTATTCTTCCCGTGTTTTCCAGGGCATGTTCTTCAAACACTGCTACTTCTTACACAGGATTTGAAAGCAGAGCACACACAGTAGAGCATTTTTAGGCAAAACTCCCGCTGGCTATCTCCTCCTCCTAGGCAGCTACTCAGCCAAGCCCAACTCTTAGGTTTGCTTTCCTGAGAAGAAAAGGGGCGGTGAATTTCTTCACCAGGGCCCAAGAAGAGAAGCAGCACTTATTAAAGATAAAAGCAAACAAACGAAACACAAACATGGGATCCTCAGAACACTATTTGTAAGGAGGGGACTACAGATTAGACCTGGAGTACATTAAAATACAGTAGCAAGGCTTGTGACTGTGGGGGTCTGTGAGGATGACTTCATCATCAAGACTGAGCCACTTTCTAATGGGGAGAAATATTTTGGTAGATTCAGGTTGAGTTGTCCCCTGTCCTCCCCAACACTGCCATCCCCCCAACCCCCCCCCCCCCCCGCCACAAACCCCAC